ATTTTTAAGGGACGGGTCCTACTTAGCTCCTGCCATTTGTTACCATCTCTGTAAACTTTCTGAAGAAATTCAGAAATTTGAGTTTTTATGAAAGCATCTTCTGTATTTATAGATATTTTTTCAAGGTTTTATGACACAGTGCAGGGAAACATAATGCATCTGTAGGCCACACCCAGGACCTAGCATCTGCTTTCACCTCTCAGTGATTATCTGGGCCCAGTAATGATGAGGCAAAATGAACAAAGGATCAGGCACATGGGCAGTGGACTCCCAGGAAAGCCATTGAGATAGCTTAGCTATCTTTCATCTTTGATAAGACCGACTTCTTAAATTTCACATCGACTATGTTGGATATTTTTAAGTTGGCAAGTCATAAATTACCTGCACATAATGGAATATGTAAGAAAAAATGCATGTGCTAAGTCACATCTGACTCTGTGCGACCCCATGGACAGATAAGACCGACTTCTTAAATTTCACATCAACTATGTTGGATATTTTTAAGTTGGCAAGTCATAAATTACCTGCACATAATGGAATATGTAAGAAAAAAATGCATGTGCTAAGTCACATCTGACTCTGTGCGACCCCATGGACTGTAGCCCACCAGGCTCCTCTGTTCATGGGATTCTTCAGGCAGGAATACTAGAGTGGGTCACCATGCCCTTCTCCAAGGGATCTTCCCAACCCAGGGATCAAACCTGCGTCTCTTACATCTCCTGCCCTGGCAGGCAGGTTCTTTACCACTGATGCCGCCTGGGAAAGGTAGTGGTGATTTAAATGTATTTACTATGCATCTGATCTGACATTTCCTCACAGAAGCACATCCAGCAGGAGAGTATAGATTAAAAAGTGAGGTATTCCAATCTAACAATGCAAACTCTTCAGGCAGTTCCTCCTTGGGGTATGAATGCTTATTTACTTATTTGACTGTGCTGGGTCTTAGTTTCAGAATGTAGGATGGATCATTGTGGCGCCTGGACTCTAGCTGTAGCTCGTGGGCTCAAGTATTTGGAGCACGCAGGCTTGGTTGTTCCTCAGTATGGGAGATCTTAGTGCCCTGACCAGGGATCAAACCTGCGTCCCCTGCATTACAGGGCAAATTCTTAACCTCTGGACCACCAGGGAAGTCCCTCTTCCTGATACTCTTTACTAGTTTTCTGATCACCTGCAGGGACCTTCCCTGATAGCTCAGTTGGTAAAGAATCCACCTGCAATGCAGGAGACCTTGGTTTGATTCCTGGGCCGGGAAGATCCTCTGGAGAAGAGATAAGCTACCGACTCCAGTATTCTTGGATTCCAGTATCCCTTGTGGCTCAGCTGGTAAAGAATCCGCCTGCAATGCAGGAGACCTGGGTTCAGAACCTGGGTTGGGAAGATCCCCTAACAAAAGGAAAGGCTACCCACTCCATAGTCCATGGGGTCACAAAGAGTCGGACACGACTGAGCGACTTTCACTCACTCGCTCACCTGCAGTGATGCCATTTGCCAGTGTGGTTTACTGAACACCCTGAAGGCATTCATTCTGGTTGATCAAGTAGTGACATGTCTTTTGTCTCAAGCAGTGTTCGAAGGGAAGCCATTGCTTCTCTTTTGCTGGCAGGAGATGACTAGTCCGCTTTTCCTGGTGCCACGGACACCCGCAGTCTAGCAACAACTCCCGTGTGGCCATTTGCCCAGTGGGGCCTTGGGGCAGCCCCAGACTTCATATCCTTTCCATTCAGCTTCGCCGACTCCTCAGACTCCAACCGTGTTTAGCAGCCAGCACACCAGGCTGTCTTCTGCACCATTCAGCTAGATGTTTCTCAACCCAGCAGCTGAGGTGGACTTTTGGGGGCAGAGCATGCGCTCGTGTTCCCACTGCCTTCTCAGGATGAGCTGTCTCTTCTATCCCAAGGCACATATGGCCTAAGCTGGGCAGGGACTTCTCTTCTGAAGGTCCCCAAAGGAAGTGAGATCGAAGCATTTCTGGCCTACATTGTCCTCGCTAACCTCACCAGATATCATAGAAGTCCCTTCACTCCAGCAAGTCAGGAGGCTTCACAGAAGTTAAAGAAGTCCACCTCACTCTCTCTCTACATCAAGTTGAACTGAGACAACAGGTCTGGACTGTTAGCATTTCCTTCTTTAATAAAGGATGAAAATTCTATGATTGTAAGATCAGAGGTGTTGATCATATTATAGAAGGAAATGAAAACATTTAGAAAATACATTTCCCTCTAGGTATCAATAAAACCAACTCACAAGCCTATGGCCTTATGAGGACTAGAAAATGTTACTTTGAATGTTACACTTCAGTGGATAGTATTCTAGAGCAGGAATCTCAGGCTTATTTAATTTGGACCTTCTACTAAGCAAAGCTGAGAGGTTGGCACAGATGCCTGTTCGTGTATTGCAGTCCGAAACTTGCGACTTGACCAGTATTCCAACATCATGAGAGTTGAAGAAACATACCCTTTACACTAGGATCAGCTTTAGGATGTGTTTCTTAGTTATTGGTGCAGCCCTGCAACCTCTTCTGATGTTTAGTGAATAGTAACTAATAAATTACTGTGAATATAAATTTCTTCCTGCATTTTCTTCCTCAACCCTGAGTCATTTTCTTCGTGCTCTTAATTTTTTTCTTTTAATCTAAAAGTTTTTATCATTATAAGATCAGAGACTTTTTCCATGGCAACATATTGTGTTATCTCTCATTTATTAAATCATATTTATTTTAGTGCGGTTATTAAGATTTTAAAGTAAAATTGACTGCTAAAAGCCATTTTTCATTTTAATACATAGTTTTCTTTTTTGAACTTTGAAAGTTTACTTTTGATTGATTTTTAATGACAAAGTCATCTTTCTCCCATGTTAAATTGATTCTTGAGTACTCTTAGGTGATACACCAGAAATAACCTGGATATTTCTTTGAAGTTTTAGTATTAGCATTATTTCTCAAAATCTGCTGCAATTTATGATCTTTGTTCCATAGCAAACAGGCTACATTTATGGACATGTATAACTTAAATATTCTTTTCTAAGCCTTCTCTTTGAAAGATAATTAAACTCATTCAATTAGGAATGAGCATTAAGCTAGCAAACCAAACTTTAAATTTAATTATGAGTGTCACAATGTCCTAAACAACCTTGAAGACTACACCACAACGATAGTCATGCTTTTTATTTATTTATTTTTTTGTTTTTTGGGTTTTTTTTTTCCCATTTATTTTTATTAGTTGGAGGCTAATTACTTTACAATATTGTAGTGGTTTTTGCCATACATTGACATGAATCAGCAAAAAATAGATATATTCTCACCTACTGAATCATATTTTATGGTGTGTGAAAGTAATTAGGCTAGTTATTCTCATTTTATTATTTTGCACATACATGTATATGAATTGTCAGAAGAAAAGAAACTAAAGTGTTGATTTTCAAACGCCATTTCTTTNTCAGAAGAAAAGAAACTAAAGTGTTGATTTTCAAACGCCATTTCTTTGCTAAGCAAAATATTTGTAAATCCATGGAAATATTGATGTGTATGGATCCACACAGACCCCAACACATATCATGCCTGATACATACTAAATTCTTTTTTAACTTAATTTTTAATTGAAGCATAGTTAATTTACAATGTCATGTTAGTTTCAGGTGTAAAGCACAGTAATTCAGATATATATATATACATATATATATATATATATATATATTTCCTTCTTCTGATGCTGTTCTCTTGTAGATTATTACAAATATTGAGTAGCGTTCCTTGTGCTATACAGTAGGTTCTTGCTGGTTATCTATTTTACATATAGTAAAGTGTCAATGTTAATCCCAACCTCCTAATTTATTCCTCATCCCCACATCCCTTTTCCCCTTTGGTAACCATAAATTTGTTTTCTGTGTCTGTGAGTCTCTGTTTTGGAATAAATTCATTTATATCTTTTTTAATGATTCCACATATAAGTGATATCATATGATATTTGTCTTTCTCTTTCTGACTTACTTCACTTAATATGATAATCTCTAGGTCCATTCATGTTGCTGCAAATGGCACAATTTCATTCTTTTTTATGGCCAAGTAATATTTCAGTGTGTGTGTGTGTGTATACACACCACATCTTCTCAACCCGTTTATCTGTCAGTGGACATTTCGGTTGTTCCCACATCTTGGATAATGTCTTGAATAATGCTAGTAATAATTGAGGTCTGCGTTCCTTTGGTGACGAGTTTTGTTTTGAGCATAATGAGTTTGAGGAACTGATGGGACATTCAGGTGAAAGTTTCCATAGGGCAGCTGGGTCACAAAACCTAGTTTTCAGCGAGCAGCTTGACCTGGAAATAATCTTCAATTCATGTGTGACAGCTAAAACCATGAGATGTGAATGACATGACCCAGAGAAGTGCACATTGTTAAAGAGTAGGGGGCAAGTACAGGGCCCCATGGAATATCAGCATTTGTGGAGCTGGTGAAGATAAACCCAAGGAGCAAGGAAAGGAAGGCTCACTGTACTGCACACATGATGAGCATGCAATCAGGGAATTGGACACCTAAATAAACAAACCCTGCTCCTTTGAATAGCCCACTGCTCCTGTCAAGAGCCAAAGGCAAGCCCTGAGGAATCAGCAACATTCACAACAGGGGCAGGATAGAGAAGTCCACAGACAGCAGCAAAGATTTGTCGTAAGAGGTGCAGAAACAAACAGGAGAGGGTGAGATCCTGAAGCCAAACGGTCAAGTATTTCAAGGAGGGAGTGACTGGTATCATGACTAGCAGAGAATTCCAGGAAAAGAAAGGATGAGAAAATGTCCCTCGGATCTGGCAATGTCAAGGAGACTGGCCATCTTAGTTACAGCAGTTTCAGTGGTGAAAGCCAGACCCAGATTCTTCTGGGACCAGGTTGAAAGGAAGGAAGGGAAGTGGGTCTCAACAGGCTGAGAGAAACCAGAGGAACCTCAGAATGGAAGTTGCTCTGCGACTGAAGAGAAGGCTTAGCAGGAGAGTGGAAGGGAGGGGGTTACGGATCTAAGTGCAGGTGAGAGGCCTTGCTGGGTGCCTGCTTTGGGGCGCGTGGTCACAGGGTGCGCAACCATGCGGAAAGTGGTTCTGATCACCGGGGCGAGCAGTGGCGTGGGCCTAGCCCTCTGCAGACGGTTGCTGGAAGAAGATGATGCGCTTCACCTGTGCTGGGCGTGCAGGAACATGAGCAAAGCAGAAGCTGTCCGCACCTCTCTGCTGGCCTCCCATCCCGCTGCTGAGGTCTCCATCCTGCAGGTGGATGTCAGCAGCCTGCTGTCGGTGTTCCAGGCCACCAAGGAGCTCAAGCAAAGGTTTCAGAGATTAGATTATGTATATCTAAATGCTGGGATCATGCCTAATCCACAGCTAAATATCAAAGCATTTTTTCATGGTCTCTTTTCAAGAAACGTGATTCATATGTTCTCCACAGCTGAAGGACTGCTGACACAGAATGACCAGTTTACTCCTGATGGGCTCCAGGAGGTGTTTGAAACCAATGTCTTTGGCCACTTTATCCTGATTCAGGAACTAGAATCTCTCCTATGTCACAGTGAGAGTCCATCTCAGCTCATTTGGACATCATCTCGCAATGCAAAGAAATCTAATTTCAGCCTTGAGGATGTCCAGCACAGCAGAGGCCAGGAGCCCTACAGCTCTTCCAAATATGCCATTGACCTTCTGAGTGTGGCTTTGAACAGGAACTTCAACCAGCAGGGTCTGTATTCCAGTGTCGTGTGCCCAGGTATGATGCTGACCAGTCTGACATATGGAATCCTTCCTCCCTTTGTGTGGATGTTAATCATGCCAATCATATGGCTGTTATGCTTTTTTGCAAATGTTTTCACGTTGACACCTTACAATGGAACAGAAGCACTGGTCTGGCTTTTCCATCAAAAGCCCGAGTCTCTCAATCCTCTGGTGAAATATCTGAGTGCCACCACTGGCTTTGGAAGCAATTATGTGACATCCAAAAAGATGGACCTAGATGAAGACACTGCTGAAAAATTTTACCAAAAGTTACTGAAACTTGAAAAGCAGATTAGGGTCACCATTCAGAAAACCAATAACCAGAACTGAAAATGATGCTCTCTGAAACATACTGTGCCTTTTGGGGATTCTGGAGTGCGTGGGTTTCTCCTGAGCTGGATCATGTGCGTTTGTGGTAAACACTGATTTCAGATGGTCTCCTCATTGCAGAATCATCTCTATGATTATGTGTGTGTGTGCATGTGAGAAAAGAATGTCTGATATTTTATCAGTCTCTAAGAATGATGTCACATCAAAGTCGTGCTAGAGTCACCCAACTGAGTATCTGTTTGTTCAGCCAGCAAGAGCACAAGCTCTACTTCATGGGATGAGGTGTTGACTTGAATAATTATGACACAGACACATACTGATTCTCCTTTTTACCTGCCCCAGAAGGAGGATGTACTACTCATTCTCTGAGTAGCAATCTTAGCCTTGTTCTTCACAAGTAGTTTTCCCTGGTTTTGTACCTTATTTCTTCCTCCACATGCCACATTTAAAAATCCTGATACAGATGCCCATGTTATTAATCATCATAGTAACAAAAGTATATGTATTTGGGCCACCTGAATTATTTTCTCTTTATTTTAAAAGTATCTTTTATTGATATTGAGATAGTCCATGTTAATAGTGGGCCTGACCTTCACCGCAGTTTACAAATTTATTACTGACCAACTTGTTTCCATGACATATTTTAGTGGATGTAATCCTGCACCAAAAATAATTTACTCAAATTGTTTCAATGAATTTACTCAGATTTTTCATGAATAATTACTGGTGGGATGTCTCTTAGTATCAGTAGTGGTCAAAAGTGGTTAGGACTAGTTTGCATGATGTCAAGACAAAATGCTAAAATTCCTAGGTGTTTCACCAACATCTGGAATATTAGAGTAATATTTTGAATGAGTTAATATGAAAAATTACATGTAAATATAATGTCTGTATGTTTTAAAGTGTGGAATTTTGGTTATTCTTTCTCTAAGTTTGTTGCTAAAGATATTTTTAATAACTTTAAACATAAATGAAAATGAGAGCTGACCACTCTCCATTCTCTTTGAGAAAGAAGGGTGAAGTTAGAGAGCTGAAGCATAGAGCTGGTTTTCACTCTTCTGTTTACTCACTGTTAATTGGGAAGAAGTACATTTTTGTGGATCTCAAGCTTTCTGTCTGTGAAGTGGAATAATAATCTTTCTGTGTTCTCTGTTCATGGAAATGAAGTGAGAATTAAAGGCAGTAATATATGTGAATGAATAAAGAGCATTTTTTGAGAAAAAAAAAAAAAGAAAGTGGAAAGGAGTGCCTTGTGGCCAGAAAGCAGAGCTCCTGCAGGGAAGACTCTGGGTTCCATGGAAGAAGCGGCCAGAGAAGACTGGTGGTGACCTTGAGGAGGTCAATGAAGAGTCAGGCTGGGAGCTGGCCTGGCTGTCCACATGGAAACTGAAGTCACCATGGCATGGACAGGGAGACTGTGAGCCTGATCAGTTTCAGTGTGCTTGGGGAAATGGAGAAGGTTGCTAAGTGACAGAGATGAGAGGCATAGGAGGTGGTAGAGCACAGTGATGTCAGACTTAAGAGAGTCGGGATAGAAGACAGTGGTGCCAAAGCATCCTTGGCAAATGAGGTTGGCTTCAAGGTCTGCAGGGTGTGGAGAATGAGCCCCTTTCCTGACAGAGGGCCCCAAGGGAAGCAAGGTCTTTAGATTTCACTTAAGGCCCAGACAGGTGGGAAATATGGCTTGACTGTGCCTACCCTGGCGCAGGAGTTTCTGAAGACACAGTGCAAAGGTCTGGGGTGGGTGGGGGAGGAGGGGGAGATGAAATTAGAGAAGAGGAAGCACAGAGCAGTCTGGGCTGGGGGGCGAGGTGCGGGGCGGCCGGAACACAAAGCAGGCTGGGAGCTGTAGCCGAGGGCAAGGATGACAGGGCTGGGGGCCCAGGGGCCTCAGCTGCACAAAGAGCTGCCCAGTGAGGAGGCATCTGAGGACCCTGGGGGAGGCCAGAGGCCTGATCCGGGGAGGAAGGGGAGCCTGTGAGCTGGGCTGGGCCTGTGCCCCCAGAGCAGAGGCTTCAGGGGCAGCCCTGGGGGCCTTGCAGACGTTTTCCTGGCAGAAAGAGCTGTCCTAGCTGTTATGTTTCTCAGCTCCCACGTGGCCACACTAGCTTTCCTTTTCCCGTGCCTCACCTCCTTCCCCCAGCACCCTTCCCCTCTCCTCACATCTCCCCTGATCTGGAGCCATGGCACCTTGTATGACCACCTTGTATGACCATGGTCACTGGTATGACCATGGGAAAAAGAGTTTCTGTTCATTTTCCAAAACTGCCAGAAACTTTATCCTTCCAGAGGCAATGTTATGTTTTAAAATTGCATCACAGAGATTGGCCAAGTTTTTGATTTTACCAATGTTGATAAAAATTTTTGATGGAAATTTGTCAGAACATATGAAATGTGATTTAATTTTTCTTAATAGCAGGTGGCCTCATGTCTGTTTCCAAGAAGGGGGTCTATGGACAATAAATAAGTGGATGTGGTGATGAGGTCATCACTTGGGCACAGGTATGCATCATGTTATACTATAGTTGATGCTTAAGGGACTCCTGGAATAGATCAGGGTCAGTGTCCATGTTGCATTATCAGGGAGTCCTTAACAGACCTCTCGATGTTCCGTGGTGCACTTTGTAGTTGTTGTCATTGATGGTTCTGCCTCTTGCCTTTACTCCACCTATGATTTCTCCGGGCCTGGCATGTCCTGCATCTTCTAATCAGTTACTTCATTCTTTACATCACTGTTTAGGTGAAGTCATGAAGGCTATTCTACCCCTCTAAATGACATCACTCACTTAGACTTTGTGATGGCTATTTGCTGCTCAGAGACCTTTGGGTGTTCTTCCAGAATTGAGACTGTATTCTGGTTGCTTGATGTTGCCTGATTTTAGTTATTAAAAAAAAAAAATTTACTGACTACTTATTCCTTACTAGGTTCTGAGCTAGGAACTAGAGGCAAAAAAGAAAATGGAGTCATCACCTTCATATCCTGGAACTCACTCTGCATCAGCTCATAGAGGTTCTGCCTTCTCTTATAATTGCATAGTACTCTATTGTGTAATGTCCTGTTCTCTCCTACGTACGACCATTTAAGTTATTCCCAGTATCTTACAATCATAGACAATGTTTATACCTATATCTTAATTAGCATCAATTTTGGAAAAGAAAATGGTGTTCTCATTTCATACTTTTCTGGGTAGATTTGTGAGTCTTGATTTGAGAGAGGGAAAGCAGTGAAATACATGGAAGACGTTAGAGAATGGGCAGCTGTGTGTAGTTCACACTCAATGATGAAAAAGCAACACTATGGGGAAATGATGCTACATTATGGTGAATACAGCTCTGAAAGGAAGAAAAGATGAATTGGAATATATTCTTTAAGTCAGTGTTCCCTAAAGAGGATTATGTGTACCCCAAAGGAAGTGCAAGTTAATCCTTTGTGGGTGCAGGAATGAAATATTAGAACTATATATTTAAGTTTCAGCTAAAATGAAATAAATGTTCTATTACTTGATACACTGGCCAACAGTGAAGACTCTCTGTATCGGTGTCTGGTGGCCACAAGCCACATGGATACTCTGTGTAAGGAGGGGCTAGCGGTGGAAACCTCACTGGTTATTTTGCTGCCAGTTAACTGCTAATGCATTGTACTGTAAGTGCTGTAACACGTCTCTGGTGTGGTTCGTTTCATTAAAGCAAGAGCAGTAAAATATAGAAGAATTTTTACAGTACATTTTTAATGAGATGATGAGTGACTATGAAAATTGTTTCTGTGTCATAGAAATGTGCTGGTGAGCTCATGAAAAATTACTTTGAAGAGTTGTGAATTTAGAGATGGAATTTAGCATTTTTTAAAAATCAGAACTCTTCTGATTAAAAGTACTTCAAATTTACTGACCTTTCTGTGAAAATTTGGAGCTTCCCAGCTGACACAGTGGTAAAGAATCTACCTGCCAATGCAGGAGACACAAGGCAGGAGACACAAGAGAAGAGGGTTGCATCCCTGGGTTAGGGAGATCCCCTGGAGAAGGAACTGGCAACCCACTCCAGTCTTCTTGCCTGGGAAATCCCATGGACAGAGGAGCCTGGTGGGCTACAGTCAGTGAGTTTGCAGAGTTGGACACAACTGAGTGCACACACATACACTATGAAAATTTAGGCCAGAAAGTAGTTTATATCCAAGCATGTATTTTCAAAAAGGTAAACATATTTAATCTGCTCCTTCTAAGTAACAAGAAATGATAAAGCAGCAATGTTTCAAAAGCAACTGGGGCTTTTGAGGAGTCATTTTGAATATTGAAAACGTGACTTTGTCACCAGAAAAAAATGTGTGGCATCTATTAGAAAATTAACATCTGCACCTTTAAAAATAATTTAGAAGCTATCTTTTCTTAAAGTTTTCCAAAACAAGTGTTTTCAATGGATTTTTAAATCCAGAAGTTTTAAATAATAAAATTCAGTGCCTTCTGATTTGTGTGCAAGAAGAAGTGGTTTACAGCAGAGACAAATGGAATTTCACTAGCCAAATTTCAATGAAAACCAGCACATATGTGCAGGCAATGATCCACCTCTCCTATCCAGATCTACAAATGTTATGAGATATCTTTTTCACTGTGGTCATCTTTAAACTGAAGAATCAGGGTAGACTAAGCTTGGAACTAGCACTTTGAATTGCTGAATCACAATGTGCAAAGTCAAGATTTGAAAAAAATAAACATCTTCAGTAACATTGCTCTTTCCACATATCCTTTGTTCATTTTAGTGGGATTAAAAAGACCTATCCCAATGGCTATCATCAAACAGACCACAAATAAAAACGCTGGCAAAGACGTGGAGAAAAAGAAACCCTTGTATACCATTGGTGGGAAGGTAAATTGATGCAGTCACTGTGGAAAACAGTACAAAGGTTTTCTTAAAAAAAAAACTAGAACTACCATGTGATCCAGCAAGTCTACTCCTGGGTATATATTCAAAAAAAAAATTAAAAAACTAATTTGAAAAGATATATGGACTCCAGTGTTCATACTGGAGTCGTTATTTACATCGTTAATAACGTTATTTACAATAGCCACGATATGCAAGCAGCCATCAACAGATGATGGATAACGAAGATGAGATATACATACAATGAAGTACTTCTCAGCCACAAAAGAGAAAGAAATGTTGCCATTTGCAACACCATGGATGGATTTGGAGAGCATTATGCTAAGTGAAATAAGTCATAGGATGGTAAATATCTGTACAATATCACTTATATATGGAATCTAAAAAATACAACAGACTAGTGAATATAACAAAAAAGAAACAGACTAATGGATAAAGCAAACAAACTAGTGGTTACCAGTGGTGAGGGGAGGGGCAATTAAGGGACGGGGGTAAGAGGTACAAACTATTAGGTATAAAACAATCCACAAGAACATATTGTACAACACAGGGAATATGGTCACTATTTCATAAAAACTTAAAACTTTAAAAACTGTGAATTACTCCATTGTACACCTATAATTTGGCTTCCCTGGTAGCTCAGCTGGTAAAGAATCTGCCTGCAATGCAGGAGACCTTGGTTTGATCCCTGGGTTGGGAGGATCCTGTGGAGGAGGGCATGGCAACCCACTCCAGTATTCTTGCCTGGAGAATCCCCAT